TCTGTCAGTATTCTCACTCCATTTGGTGCTTAGCTGAGTTCTTTATCTCTTCATTTGATGTTTTAGGGTTTCAGGATTGTTGTATTCTCTGTTTGGCTTAGTTTTTCGGATCTTTGCTGTGGAGGGACGGCGTGGTGCTTCTGCCTAGAGCGCCATTTTGCCGGAACTCCCATGTTGGATTCTTAACAAGGATTGAACTAAGCAAAATGTTGACTTTTTTCAGAAAGTAGCTTCACATTGTAATTTTGAGCTCACTCATTTTTGTAAAAATAAATAGCCCTCATGTGCTTGTGATTCTAATCTTTATACCCTGGTCTAGACCTCTCCTCCATGCCCCAAACTTGTATATTCTATAGTCTTTCTGACATGTCCACATAGATGTTTCTCAGGCATCTCAGTCATGTCCAAAATTGAACTCTTGATTTTCCCCTCCAGATCTGGTCCTCCCTGTCTTCCCCATGTCAGTAAGGGACACCACCCATCACCAAGATATTAAAGCCCAAATTAGGAAGCTATCTTTGACTCCTCCTTTTCCTTCATCACTTGAACAATAAATCCTTTCAGCTTAACTCCCAAAATATACCTCACATACATCTGCTTCTCCATCTTTACTATCCATTTCCCAGTCTAAACCAGCATCATGTCTCTTCTGAGCCACAGTAGGGGCCTCCTGATTATCTCCACCTTCCTGTACCCCTCCAATTCATGCTCTACACAGCTTTTAAACTAAGTCAGATAATGTCCTGCTTTAAACCCTCCAATGACTTCTAGAATAAATTCCAAATACCTTTCATTTGACCACTGCCAAACTGGATTCCATTGCTGTTTGATCCCTTTTCCCTGGTGTGATTCATTGTCTTATATCTGTTATTCTCACCTTCATTTTAGACAGTATTAGGTATGATTTTCAAGTGCCGATTTTGAATTTTGTATGTAGCTTGTGGAATATCTCTATGTGCCCCAGTACCCTGATTCTTATCACTTTGGATGTATACTATACATTTTTTTGTATGTATAGCTCTACTTTTTAGAGCATGAGAATAAGGAAGAAATCTCACAGAGATGTAATGATCTGCTCTTCCTGCTTTTTTCCAGCTAGCTGCAGTGAGGGAAAAAGTGAAGGATATCCCCGGCCTTCGGGCCAGGTTTGAGGAGATCTATGAAAAACTGCACGTATCTGGCCGGGTCACCACTCTAACTTTGGATGCTATGCTGTGCCACACTCCAAGGGACAGAACATCCCACTTGGTGCTGTTAAACAAGAGGACAGCCAGCCGTCGAACTTCCCAGCCACTCAGCCAGTCCCTGTTGGCTGAGTAACCCTAAGTTCAAACTGCCGAGGGGTCTGAGGTGGAGAGAGCCCTACTTCTAGTGAATCATTGACTTCTTAAGAAATCAGGGATCACACTTTCAGTGGACACTATCCTGACACTTGGTCTCCTCCCTAAATCTCCAAGTTTATTAAGTGCTGGCATGCCGACCCCAGAAGTTAATAAGTGCGCCACTGTGATCTTTGAGATAAAAGCAAGCAAAAACTCAACTTCCTCAGAAACGAGACTTTGCCTTTGTAGAGTGCTGAGTATCCTTGAAGGAATGTGGACTGGTCTCCGAGCCCAGCCTCCAGTACCAGAGTGGAACCCTACAAGCACTATCAGGAATGAATTTCACATCTGGCTATGAGTATGGCCAACTCTGACTGATTTTCAGGGGAGCAGGTCCTTGCAAATTATGACTTTGCTGAATTCAGGAGGTCTGAAACTCTATGCTACCATGGTGGGAAAGGGCCCAGGATTTTCTCACTGCTTCTACTGTCTTCTTCTATTTATATCAGTGACTATGCAAGGTACTTGATTCCTCATTTTTCCGTCTGCAAAACAATACTGCCTGTGTGTATCTGCTTATCGATTTAAACTTTTCATTCAAGGTTCAGTCAGGTAAATTTTTCTCAAAAATAAAAGAAATAAAAAGGTTCCTAAAAAACTTCCTGGGATGATGTTTGTTTTATTTTCTCAGAAACACGAACAAAACTGGAATTTAGCTTTCAGAATTGATAAGTAAGCCCAATTTAAATGATTACTGCTTTGGTCACAAGCAAGGCTTGTGCTTTGCAAAATAAGTGCCAATAAAATGACATAATGCTTCTGTGTTGCCTAGTTTTCTCTGTGGGTCATAAATATTTGGTCCTGTAGTTCATCTCCTTTGTTAAAGAAGTTTTCTCTTTAGATGCCCCTTTGGATGCCTTATTTTTTTGTAAAAATAAATGTGTCAGGAATAGGACAAAACTTCCTCCTGTTCATGTGGATTCATCACTTGATGGTTGGAAACACAGCATCTGGTGAGTTCCAGCATAACTGGCCGCTGATGTGCTGAAGAGACATACACAACGACCCCACCTCAGTCATGCCTTTTGTTTCTGAAGGCCCAAAGTGAAGTTCAAAGCCTTTGCAGCCGTCTGCCAAGAATACTGCCCTCTTCCTTGAGTGCTACTTCAAAAACTGAGGTGGTTACTTTAGCTTTATTGTTGTTCTGAGGCAAGAATTATTCACAGACTCGGGAATTTTAGAGTAGGAGGAATCTTCTGAGTCTTCTTGTCTAACCCCCTCATCTTTCCATGTGGTGAAAATTACTTGTCCACGTTGGCATAACTAAATTGAAGTGGGGCTGAGATTAAAGTCCAGATTACTAGTCCTTCCCATTATACCACATTATGTTTCATTGGAGGGGAAGGAGGATAATCTCTTCAGAGATACTATACTAAGGGCATTAATTTTGGGGAGGCCAAAGAGTGGAATGTTATAGATTGAACTGTGTTCCCCCCAAAATATGTGCTGTAAATCCTAAATTTCTGTACCTGTGGATACAATCCCACTTGGGAATAGGACTTTTCTTTGTTGTGTTAGTGAGACCGTATTAGTGTAGGATGTATCTTAAACCAATCACCTTTAAAATGTAAAAAGAGCAGATTAGGCACAGAGAAGGAAGCACAAATGAAGGGGAAGATACATACCTCATGAAGATCACCAAGGAACTGAGGAACAGAAGCCAAAAAGAGATAAGGACCTTCTACCAGAGCCAATGAGAGAAAAAGCCTTCCCCTAGAGCTGGTACCCTGAGTTCGGACTTCAAACCTCCTAAACTGAGAAAATAAATTTCTGTTCAAGCCATCAACTTGTGGTATTTCTGTTACAGCAGCACTACGACACTGAGGGGAAGAAGAGACATACTAAGGGTTCCCGCCACTTAATGTTTCCATGGGTCAATGACTTGACTTTGTGTGCCTGAGTTTCCTCAGTTGTTAAACAGGGTTAATAGTAGTACCTGCCTCATAGGATTGGTGTGAGGATAAGATGAGATGATAAATTGTGAAGTAAGCAGAACAGTGCTTGGTACGTAGTAAGTGCTATACAAGTTTTAACTGTTACTGTTTTAATTGTTAGTGTTGGTAGCATTCCGAACATTTGGACCTGTTTGAGGAATTATGTAAACAAATGAGTTCTTCATCCTGCTCAGAAATGTCAAGAGAATTTCTTTTGCTTGTGCCCTAGCTAACTCCTACTCATCTTTTGAGTCAGTTTAGACATATTTTCATCTGGGAAGGCGTTCTGGACCCACCTACCCTACAAGTCCAGGTTAGATGAGCTACCTATGTGCCCCAGCACTTCACTTATCAAAGCCCTTCTCACACTCCTGTCATTAACCATTTTCTATTCTTCACTAGATTCAAGGTGTCATGTCTATCTTGTTCTCCATTGTTTGCCCAGTACCTAACATGGCAGGGAACGTAGCAGCGGATTAGCACTCATTTCACTCATTGACTCATTTATATTATGCTATATTATTTACTGACGTTGGTGGACATCATAATCCCCCTGTGAACAGCATTTTCTCTCCAGGACTGTTCACTCAGTCCCAAACACTCCACATTTAGACCTGACTCCAAGTTTTTGCTCAGCCCATTATGTATCCTTCTCTTCCACCTAAAATGCCCTCTCTGTCCATCCTGTCCTACCCATTTTTCCAGGTCCAACTCATGTGTCGCCTTTTCCATGAGGTTTTCTCAAACGCTCCAACCCACCTGGATTCTCCATTCATTCACTCACCAAGTCTATACTGAGCATCTACAAAGGGCCAGGCACTGTGAAGGCTCTTGAGATTGCACAGGGAAAAGACGACCAAGATCCCTTTCCCAAAGCAGAACATTTTTACCCTGCCATTTTGACAACAAGGATCTTTCAGCCCTCGTCATTTGCTCTTTGCTTCTGTAGATAGTATTCATTACAGAGTGATCAAAATCCTACTGGAGAATAAATGTGGTAGTGAAATAGACCAACCCTGGGCAATTTTTGCTGACAATTTTGTTGAGAATGACTCATGAAATAAATACAAGCTTTTAAACAATTCATGTAATGAATATTACTGGGAAATTGTAGTGGCGAGGCAACGATGTACTGCTGTAATTCAGGTGGGAAAAATTGTAGGTATCTTTTTCTTTGCAATAGAAAATTAATTCTGTTTATATTTAGAAACTGAGAGGGGAATCAATGGGAGGCTTGATCTTGCTTTAAGGATATTTTATTCTTTGATTTAGGTAAATGCTCAGTCTTTCTGGATGTCTTCCTCCCACCCCTTTCATAGTCAAGATGGTAGCTGAGTATAAGGCTCTGGTTCTCAAACTTTCGCACGTATCAGAATCACCTGGAGAGCTTGTTAAAACACAGATTGCTGGGTCTTATCCTTAGGGTTTCTGATTCAAAGTGATAAGACTTTGTCTCATGTACTTTGGACATGTTATCAGGAGGGACAGTCCCTGGAGAAGGACATCATGCTTGGTAAAGTAGAAGGTCAGCAAAAAAGAGGAAGACCATCAATGAGATGAATTGACACAGTGGCTGCAACAATGGGCTCTAGCATAACAACAATTGTGAGGATGGTGCAGGACTGGGCAGTGTTTCATTCTGTTGTACATGGGGTCACTATGAGTCAGAACCAACTCGATGGCACCTAACAACAACAGGTCTGGGATTGGGCCCAAGAATTTGCATTTCTAATAAGTTCTCAGGTGACGTTGCTGCTGCTATTCCAGAGACCACAGTTTAAGAACCACTGGTTTAAGAGGAATTTGTATTTTTTCATAGGGATGGGAGGTTTGAACTTCAGAGCCATTCTCTGGGTCCTCTCTGACCTCAGTTATTGAGAGGAGGGAGCGGTGGAAAGTCCCAGCAGGCCTTTTAGAGGGTCCTGCTGGCAGCCACTTCTGAGGTCTGTGGCCTCTGCCATTTGCCTGTACTCATAAATACCCTCACTCTGCAGTTGCCTAATTCTAACGCCAAGCCCTCTGCTAAATTCATTGAAGTAGGAGTCGAGAGCATCATGATTTAAGGTCAGTGAAAAATATATCCATCTATTGCTTTAAAAAATATATATACAAAAAAAATCCGTACAAACTGAGATAACATATGGCTAAAACTGCACAGGGCTTAACTAAAATAACACAAGATTCAAATTTTCTTTATAACATTTTCATGTACAGATTCCACTTGAGAAAGTTAAACTCATTAGACGAAATAGCCATAAGAAAAAAAACCCACGGTGGCTAAAATTATGATCAGTAAAATTTGATATGCATAGAAAACTGTATGGTGAACCAAATCTTCACTGTAAAATGGATCCCAATGGAAATAATTTCAGAAGTAAAAATGAAATGGTATTTTTAAAAAGGAAATGGTTTGACTATTGCATACAAAATGGATCAAGGAATTAAACTGGCTTAAAAGGCATTAGCTCAAAAAATATCTTCTCAACAAAAATTGGTTGATGTTGGTGGATTTATGATTGAGATATTTTTTATTCATTAACATGAAGTCAAAACAAGGGTATTAAAAAAATGCCCTCTGCTCTCATGAAACTTGCATTCTGTAAGAGGAATAGACGTTAAATGGGTAACTAGGCAAATGAGTACATAATTGGAATTGGGATAAGTGCAGAGGAGTTATGGAACAGTCCAGAGTGATATGAGAACATATATAATAAGAGGACATACATAATAAGAACTGAAGAAAAAATTCAAGCCTTGAGTTGCAATATTGAAGGATTCTATGGGAAAAATATTAAACAACACAGGAAACATCAAAAGAAGATGGAAGGAATACACAGTCACCATATCAAAAAAAAATTGGTCGACATCCAACCATTTCAGGAGGTAGCATATGATCAGGAACCAATGGTACTGAAGAAACAGGTCCACGCTGTGCTGAAGGCATTGTCCAGGAATCGATGCGTGGATCATAACAAATTATGGATAAGATTGCGAAGGATGGGAATTCCAGAACACTTAATTGTGCTCATGAGGAACCTATACATAGATCAAGAAGCAGTCATTCGAACAGAACAAGGGGATAATGTATGGTTTAAAGTTAGGAAAGGTGTGCGTAAGGGTTGTATCCTTTCACTATACTTATTCAATCTGTATGCTGAGCAAATAATACAAGAAGCTGGCCTATATGAAGAAGAACGCGGCATCAGGATTGGAGGAAGACTCTTTAACAGCTTGTGTTATACAGATGACACAACCTTGCTTGCTGAAAGTGAAGAGGACTTGAAGCACTTATTGATGAAGATCAAAGACTACAGCCTTCAGTATGGATTACACCTCAACATAAAGAAAACAAAAATCCTCACAACAGGACCAATAAGCAACATCATGATGAATGGAGAAAAGATTGAAGTTGTCAAGGATTTCATTTTACTTGGATCCATAATCAACACCCATGGAAGCAGCAGTCAAGAAGTCAAACGACATATTGCATTGAGCAAATCTGCTGCAAAAGGTCTCTTTAAAGTATTAAGAAGCAAAGATGTCACTTAAAGGACTAAGGTGTGCCGTACTCAAGCCACGATGTTTTCAATCGCCTCATATGCGTGGGAAAGCTGGATGACGAATAAGGAAAATGGAAGAAGAATTGACGCCTTTGAACTGTGATGTTG